GTCTAATGATTTGCTTGGCTCTGTTCTTCACGTCTTCCTTGGGGATATGATGCATGTATGTCTATGGGATGCCGAGCAGACTCCAAAAGGATCTCATTCGTGTGGCCTGCATCCTCCTTAAGCCTCCAAGTCTGCTGTGAGAGTCTTACAGGCGTACGAGAATACTGGCGTGACCAAGGTGCGTATCAGTAGTCTAAATCCTGAGCTGAGTGAGATGCTGCTGTCTATCCAGATCATCTTCAGCTTTATTCTTGTTATTATTTGGGTGATTCTGCTTTTAGTTTTTAGATGATGTTTTTAGTTTCTGGTCACTGATTCTGAGATCAGTGCTAATGCCTCTGGCGTTGCTGGGCATCATTCTGGTCTTCTCTACACCGATGCTGCTGGCTGTTGGTGTCTTGTCCAGGCGTTTCTCCTGCCTGGCTAAAAGTGTCAGCTCTTCTGGCTTACCTGGTGTTCTAAGAGGTCAAATACACACACACACACACACACACACACACACACACACACACACACACACACACACACATATATATACAGTAAAGATCTTAACACGAGGATAAAAGACGACCTTCGCGGAACAAAAGGAAATCTGCCTCCGGAAATCGGGCCCAGAAATCGGAAATTCTAATCGGTGCGAGTGACGTCATTCAGCCGGAAGTCAATGAGATAGAGAGCTTCTGATTCTTAATGGATGTGGAGGAGGAGGGAGGAAGGGAGGAGGAGGAGGGTTGGATGAGGATGGGGATGAGGATGAGGATGAGGAGGAGAAGGAGGAGAAGGAGGAGGAAGGGAGGAGGAAGTAAGGAGGAGGTAGAAAGGAGGAGGAGGAGGGTTGGATGAGGATGGGGATGAGGAAGAGGAGGAGGAGGAGAAGGAGGAGAAGGAGGAGGAAGGGAGGAGGAGGAAGAGGTGGAGGAGGAGGAGGAAGAAGGGAGGAATGAGGGTAGGAGGAGGAGGAGGGGGAGGAGGAGGAGGAAAGGAGGAGGAAGAAGGGAGGAGGATGAGGGGGGGGGGTAGGAGGAGGAGGAAGAGGAGGAGGAGGAAAGGAGGAGGAAGAAGGGAGGAGGAGGAGGGGGAGGAGGAGGAGGAAGAGGAGGAGGAGGAAAGGAGGAGGAAGAAGGGAGGAGGAAGAGGAGGAGGAGGAAAGGAGGAGGAAGAAGGGAGGAGGATGAGGGGGAGGAGGAGGAGGAGGAAGAGGAGGAGGAGGAGGAGGAGGAAGAAGAAGAAAGGAATGAGGGTAGTAGTTGTAGTAGTAGGAGGAGGAGGAGGAGGAGCATGAGGGGGAGGGGAGGAAGAGGAGGTGGGTAGGAGGAGAAGAGGAAGGGGAGGAGGAGAAGGAGGAGGAGGAAGAGGAGGAGGGAAAAGAAGGGTGAGTGTGAGGGAGGGGAGGGGGGAGGGCGAGGGGGAAGGGAGGGGGGAGGGCGAGGGCATAGGAATTATAATGATCTCTTTCTTCTGTCTCTGTCTCGCTTCCTTTATTTGCTTGTTTTGTATCTATATTCTGTTTGTATGTTTGTTTGTTTTAGCGGTTTCTCTTACTTTGGCCTTTATTCTTTCGCAGTTTAGTTTTCTTTCTGTGTTTTTCTTTTACTCTCTTCTAGTCTCTGTCTCTTCCTATCCCCTCCCCCCCCCTCGCTTTCTCTCTATCAATCTCTCCCTCCCTTCTTCACCCCTCCTCTCTCTCTGTCCGTTCCTCTCCCTCTTTCTCTCCCTTCACTCTCCTTCCCTGTCTCCTCCCCCCCCTCTCTCTCTCCTGTTCTCCCCCACTCTCCCCCCACTATCCATTTTCAGATTCATTATTTCTAAAAAAATATCAATAGAAGCAAATGACATGAACGAGAGACATTTTCGTCCTCAATGTTCTCACGTCAACTAAAAGCTCGTGACATGTTTCGTATAATTCCTTTGAATATGTCGGAAGCACTGTTCAGAGAGTGAATTTCAATAAGAATGATAATCATTAGAAAAGAAAACAAAAGAAAAAAGAGAAAAAAAAAACTAGAATCTGTGAGGGTTATAGTTATGATGAAGGCAATGTTATAATGCTGGTTCTGCTGTTGCTGATGATGACAAATACTACTAGTAATAATAATGAAATATAATGTTGATATTAGTAATAATAATAATAATAATGACAATAATATCAATAGTAACGATAATAATAATGATAATAATAATAATAATAATAATAATGATAATAATAATAATGATAATGATATTAATAATAATGGTAATCATAACAATAATAATGTTAATGATGAGAGCAATAATGATTATAATGATAATAATTGCGATAACGATGATAATGGGAATTATAGAAATTAACATGATAATCGTTAAAAATGAAAATGATAGTAATTATAGCGGGTAGCGATAATAATAGTAAAGATAATATCATTAATGATGAAAATGACAATAATAGTAATAATGATAATAATAACAATAACAATAATGATAATAACTATAACGATAATAATAACGATAATAACAATGATAA